GGGATGGAGGTAAGGGGGGGGGGGTAATTTAAGTAAATAATTTACTTGTATTGAGAAAGTATTTTTTTGATTGAAATCTATAAATTTTCTCAAATCAAGAAAATATTTTCTTGGATAGAGAACATACTTTCTTGATTTGATACATAAATGATTTTGAATTAATATATTCTGCATTTCTTACATGCTACTTAACTTCTTGATCGAATTCCATATTTTCTTGGATCAAGAATATCTGCGTTCTCTCACAAAATAAATGTTTTCTTCATTTAAATCTTGAATTACTTGAACGAACGTTACAAAAAATTGAATGAATCAAATAAAATAATTCAATTAACTATATATATTCTTAGAACAAGAAAATATTTTATTCATTTAATACATTTCATACTTCGTATAAGAAGACTAACTTCTTGGTCGAATTCCATATTTTCTTGGATCAAGAATATATGTTCTTCTCCCAAATATCCTATGTCAAGAAAATCGTTTTCTTGAAGCAATACTTTAATAGTCTTGGCCGTATTCAATCCCACGATTTGCTTCAACCAAGAAAAATTTTCTTGGTTCAATACTTTTTTTTTTCAGTGTATTAAATGAACAGATATTGATCTAAATTTTTTAAATACTAAACCGATAGGCAATAATTACATATCTGTTAAAACAATTGTCAATAGGTACCTGTAAGATTTACAATAAATCAATTTGTAAACAAAATTTACGTTTCATCTAAAAATATAAACAACACTTATAGCGTTTGGCAACGTTGCATGCACTATACACATTAAATTTGAGCGCGAAATTCAAATGATAATTTTTATCAGAGGTTAGAAATAATTCGGCGTTGCCAAACGTTTGACGTTACCAAGTGAGTCAAAACATTAAATATTTCTCACTGTTTTGACTAGCTGCGTCAAGCGATAGAACCTCCTTAATTCTTATATAAAGAATTTTAAACAAATTTTTAAGTAATTGAATTCTTTTGACGAATTTTAATAAAAGTTTTTAGAATATTTACATTTTTCAAGGAATTTTATTAAAATTGTATTAAAAATAATTAAAATTCTACAACGCTCTAATACTTTTAATATTCAATTATTATCTAAAATTTTAAATAAAAATTTATTTTAAAATAAAGTTTTACTAGAAAATTCTATGAGAATTCAATTATTTGAATACAAAAATAAATAATTTATTGAACAAATGAATGCTTCTTAAAATTAAGAATTTTATTATATTTATGAAAATAATGGAATTTCAGTAAAATTTTTATTATTTATGAAAAAAATTAAATGTTTGCGTACAATTTTATTAAAATTGTTTTTAAATAATTGAATTCTTTTGGGTATTTTTATTAAAACAGTAGATATTGAAAATCATTGAAATGAGGAAATTTTTTGAAAATAATTGAATTTTGAAGAATTTTTTAATTTATAAAGATAATAATTGATATTTTGTCGAGATATCTTTGTAAATTTTGAATATAATTGAATTTCTGAAATCATTTGTAACTTCTTTAAAATTCAAATTTTGTAGTGTTTTTCACTAAAATTCTTCTATAAATTAATTTTTTTTAATAATTAAGTAAATATGTATTGAAAAATTTAACTAATTTTAGAAGATTTTGAGTTAATAAATTTTTCCAAAAATCTAAATTTATTAAAATTTCTAATTACATTCATTCAACATTGAAATTTTATAAAATTTTAAATTGAAACCGTTTGAAGTTCATTTATTTATGAAAATTGTAAAGGCAACTGTTTTAAAAATTATTTTTTTTAGTACTTTTAGTAAAAATTCCTTACTTTTCCCTAAATTCCCTATGTCAGAATACATGATTATTATAATTATAATAATATTATTATTATTAAGTTTATTTGTCTTGAACTTACAGTTCATACAAAGAGGTTGCGATGATACAAAAAAATATATATATACATATAAGTAGAGTAAATAATTACAATGTGGTTATCTAGTTGTATAATTTGTTATTCTTACATCTAATTTTTATTACATTTATAAGGAATAGGGAGGCGGCCTTCAAAGTTTCCGTTGAAGGTTCATTAAGTATTTTGTGCCATATATCTTTAATTTTGCTAGGATCATTGCTCATGCTAATTTGCTTTTCCCTCTCTTCTTTATGTGAATAACATTCAACCAGAATATGGTATAGTTCCTGATCATCTTTTTTACTATGCGCGTATCCGCCTTTCCTGTAGATTAGTATCTTAGTTTTATTTTCATTGACCTTTAACATATTACGTACACAGTATTTTCTAAGAGCTCGAAGTAATTCTCTCATTTTTACTGGTGAATCCGCGAACAATACCAGATCGTCGGCGTATGCTGATACTATAATTTCTGTTTTATGATCGATCGAGACCCCTCTAATTCCCTCCTCCCTTAAAAAATCCTCTAAGTCATGCATAAAAAGGGAAAATAGCAGAGGGCTACTGACTTCCCCTTGAAGAACACCTTTCGTCACATTAATTGGTTTTGAAATTACGCAGTCATTTTTTACCGCCATTGTGGCCTTCGAGTAGAAGTCTTTTAAAATTTTTATTGTTTTACTACCTACACCTAGCTTGTACAGTTTCTCCCAAAGTAAATTGTGCGAAATAGAGGGAAAAGCATTGAAGAAGTCGACAAACAAAGTATTATACTGTTTAAAACAAAAATATTGTCTACACAACTTCTACTTTTTCTAAAACCGGTTTGAAATTCTGGGAGAATTTGGTTCTCCTCAGCCCGATTGGTAATTCTAGTTGTTAATAATCGTGTAAAACCTTTTGTTATATTGGTTAAAAAGGAGGCACACTCGTTCAACCCAGCCTTGCGTTAGATTTTTAAAAAATTCGAATGAAATTTCATCGGGACCCGAAGCTTTATTGTTTTTGCAAGTCTTAAAAGCTGCTAAGATTTCTTCAGGGGAAATAGGAGCCTCTATCATAGGATTGGTATTGGTTATTGGAAGCTCTGAAATATTTTCAGTAGTGAAATTAGGTATATTTTCAGAAAGGAATTTTTGTAAGTATTCATCCCAGCTTTCTAAGTCAATACAATCCTTACTAGTATACCTCATTTTATAACCGTTAATAATTTTTCAGAATATTTTTGAGTCTCTGGTTGAAGACAATCTATCAATAACTGACTTGGAGTGGGCCTCCCTCTTTGACCTGATTACATCTTTATAAATTTTTTTCTTATCGCTATAAATCTGAACAATATTTTTATTAAAATTTAGTTCTTTGCAATTTTTCAGAGTAAGTTTAACGAATTTTTTAAAGCCACACATTCGGCGTCAAACCAGGGTTTGGATAGGCCAGTTTTGCCATTTATTTTTGTTATCATACCTATTCCTTTTGCTTTTGATTTTATATGGTTAATTAAATTATTCGATATTTCATCCAGAGAGCAGATATCCATCTCCTCAAACTCCGGGGGGTCTCCCATTGCTTCAATAAAATTATCCCTCAATTCCTCCCTCCATTTTATTTTATTCTCATTTATCTTATATTCTTCTTTTATTTGTAATGTAACAGCTACTGGGAAATGGTCCGAGCCAGAGACTACTTGTAAAACTTCAAAATCTTTTATTTCGGGAATTGCGTTCAGACTTGCCCAAATGAGATCAATTGTAGATTTCCTATTAACTAAAATATAAGTATATTGTCCGAGATGGTTACGTCCTTGAGCTATATATTTTTGATCTGGTTTGAATCCTTTTCTTGGTCCGGGGTTATTTTTTGTGGTGCAAAGAATGATTTAATTGAACTTCTTTGATTTAAACTCGTTAATGTTTTTTGTTTTTTCTTTATTTTATTTTTCGATCCAGATTTTCTTCCCCTCTTCCCGCTGGCGTTAGAGATCATTGAAGAAGAGTCATCGCTGTCCGAGTTGAAAAGGGATTCCTGTTCCTCCTCAGAGACCTCTCTCCTGCTAATGATTTTTTTAATCTCTTCTACATCCATGACTGCATCGCCAACGATGAGTTTGGAGCCCTTGATGATGGAAGATTCCCCTCTCTGTTGCAGGATTCCTTTGTATCTTGTTAGTAGATTGAAGTTCTCTCGTCTTTGCTTCCTTTGCTCTTTCGAGAGAGATCGAAGGAGAAGCCGAGATTTGTATGTCCAAGAGCTATTTTGTCTTGAAAAATCATTGTTTTCCATTTAAAATCGTTAAAAGTGACAAGAATTGGTCTCGAACCTTCTTGTTTACCCAATCTCTTAGCTTCAATAATACTTTCGGTGGGAATATTAGTGTTAACACTTTGAATGATATTTTTGACAGTAATGAGTAAGTCATTGTTTTCCTTTTCAGTGTCCGGAACCTTGTATATTACAATGTTATTAGCTCTGTCTTTATTCGTTAGATAATTCATGTTTTTCTCAAGTAGGTTTATTCTTTCATTTAGCCTTTTGTTTTCCTTATTTAATTTAAAAGCTTTATTTCTATAATTTTTCATATCATTTTTTAAGAACTCCACGGTTTGCTTTATTTCTTTATTGTCCTGGTCCATTCTATCCAGTTTTTCATTTGTTTGCTTGACTCCTTCTTGAATGGATTCCAGCAAGGCTGTAAGTTCCTTTGAGTTAGACATCGTCCATACACTAGTTGCACACATAACTCTAATAAAGAAATAAACGAAGAGGAATACACTTTCAAAAGTCCTTATGTGAAAAATTCACTTAGAAAAACACTTGCCAATACAACAGATTATACATATACGGATGATACAGAGCTGTTTATAAACACGTCCGAACACTTCGACTGCTCATTCGCAACTCTAATTATAATAATATTAAAACTATATATTCCAATTCGTATTTTATTTTTATTAAAAAAATTTGAATTAAACATTTTTACGTTCTATTATTATTAAAATTGCTAATTTTACTTAAAAAAGCGAGTGAGAAATCAGCCTCACAAGCCTCAACTAGCCAAATGTTGCTAGTATTATTATAATTTAAAAAGAAAATTAAAATTGAATTTTTTATCTGTTGCAGCAAAATGAAGCTTGATGTGGATAGAGACAAAGCTCTAGAATTATTCGGAAAGTTCATTAGAACAAAAAATGTTAGCAGTCTTCAAGGTGAACAAAAAACTAGGGCCGGACAAGTTTGTCCTCCAGAATCTAAGCAGAAACTACAGGTACGTCTCTTTTCTTTTAATCCAATATTTTTTAAATGGTAATTAAAATATAAAAATCTGAATACCCGGATATTTCATTTTCTTCTAGTGATCATAAAATCTATTTTCAATCTTTTATTAAGTCGTGAAAATATATTTCTTCTTCTCTTTCAATAAAAACTCATCATTCCTTCTTCACTGAAAAAAGAGTATTCTAACTTTAAGAATATTTTACTTGACGTTAGAATATTCGCCACTTAAATGGGCGCCAAGAATATTTTCTTATTGTAAGTGGGGAATATGCTTTAGGTAAGAATATATTCTAAAAATCTCTTACGAGAATATATTCTTAACCTATTAAGCCGTACTTCTTATATTAAGAATATTATATTCTTAAATTTATAAGCACATAATACTTTTGGGTTTCTGGAAATAATATTTTTCATTTATAATCTAAATAATAAATTTTTAATTAAATACACTGTAAAAAATTTAGGAAGTTAACGGACTCGGGAGTTGGGAGTTAAATTTTTCGAGTTAAAAATCAACTCCAAAAGAGAGTTAATTTCTAACTCCCTTCATTCAACACCCGCGCGAGTTATTTTTTCCATGGGGAGTTAGCATTTGGGTGTTAAATTTTAACTCTCTTTATTTAACTCCCCTGGCATTAACTCCCTAATGGGTGCGACTTTTATAGAATCCCCTGGGGAGTTAAAATTTAACTCCCTTTTTTTACAGTGTAGACATAATTTTGGAATTATAATTCCAAAATTATAATAATTAATTTAATAATTAAATAATTAATAATAATAATAATAATTAATAATTAATAATAATAATTATTATTAATTTAATAATTAATTTTATTATTATAATTTCTTTAAAATTATTTGCATCATTTCAATTCTATTAACATTTTCTACAATTTTTAACTAAAATTCTACTTTCAATCAATAACATCAATTATTATTCAATTAAACATTTTCAAAAAAAAAATTAATTAATTAATTTAATTATTATTAATAATAATTTTTTAAAAATGTTTCATATAAGTTTTGATAGATTTTATACATTGGATTACCTATAAAAGATGTAATTGGTCTCATAGGGATGTTATTTTTGTGTAGTTTCGGTAGTCCATATTTTGGAGCAAGTATTTTTTTTAAAATATTTTTTATTTAAAAAAGATTTTAAGAGATTTTTTGTAAATAATTTTGAATGGAGATTGTAGGATCCGAATTTATTGTAAATAGTAGTGTCAGTTAGAAGATTAAGCGTTTTCGAAATATAATCAGTTTTTGTTATAATAACAGTTTTATTACAATACATTTATCGGCAGTGGTTACAATGATATTTTTATTTAAGTTTAACATTTTTTTTGTTTCGTTAATTTAATTAATTAAATTTTTTTGAGTGCAATTAAAATTATATTTACTAAAAATTAAATTTTGTAACCAGTAAGATACATTTTCTCTAATAGTATATTTTTAGTATCAGAGAATATTTTAGTATCTACAATCTACAAAATAATAATTATTATTATTTTATTAAAATTTAAAATGTCATCCTCGGAATTAAATAATATAATCGAAAAGCGGATATATATAGTTGCATTAGATATCGGTTTTCCACGAAGCATTGCAATATTCTTCAACAGAATTCACACAACTGCGGTCAATTTCCGACGCATGCATCAGAATTTCCGTCTGATGTTGATTATAGAGAGAAAATTAATTACAAGGTCGCGTTTGAATGTATATGTCAATTTTGTGACAAGTTATAATTATCTCGTTACACTTCCCCATTCAAAATAAGATTTTATTATCATTAATGAAACAATACCCTCTAAATTTGAAATATAATCACTTTTCAACTAATCCAACTGCACTGATTCGTTTATTATAATAATCCACTTTGAGGCAAATTAAAAAAAAACATTCCACAACTAAAAGTTTTTCCAATTATTTCCGCAATAATGAGAAAAAAATTATATATTATAAACTTTTTCCAATTTCTGATTAATGAAAAAAAATGTTAATTTTCTTTAAAAAAAATGAAATTTTAATTTCTGTAAATAAAGAGAAACTTTTATTTCTATAAATTGTAAGAAATTGTATAATTTCTGTAAATAATAAGTTTTAATCTCTATATAAAGTAATTATATGAAAAAGTAAGAAACTTGAAGGACCTGAAGGAAAATGTGAAAAACAGATTCATTAAAGAGTTTATGGAATGTCTTTTTGTATTACTAAAAAATTATACCGCAAGCATTATTTGATCAAAAGAGAAAAGGAACTTAGTCGTTTGAAACAAACGAACAATTCTTGTTACGTTTCGTTTAGGAGTTTGAAACTAGTTCACAATCGGTTACCAGACGTGAAACAAAGTTTGCGCCAATAGCAGATATTTTAGCGCCAGTGACTATATATACATATACGTATATATTCTTGATATATTCTAAACTTTATACCATTTGAGTAAAAAAAAATTCTCATTTTCTTTTTTTCTACTTTTTTACTTATTCGAGCAAAAAAAAATAATTTTTTTTCTTCTCCGGAGAGGCCTCTTTCCTCACAGGCAATTGGTCGAGAAAGGAAATCTTATCCGGTTTAAGAGAATGAGAGAAATCCATTTGAATAAAAGAAAATAAATTAAGTTTAAAGAATTCAAGAAGAGGGATCTCAACTGAATGAAAATGGAGCTTATCAATAGAAATTGTGTATATTTTCCAATCCTCTTTCGATAGTATATAGTGTGCTGTTAATTGAAATTGAAGTCTACGATACAGTCTCATTTAAAATATTGGAAAATAACAATAAACTTATATATGTTTAGCAGAATATAATGTTTCTCACTTTCATTGAACACATTAAGCCTGCCAATAAGAATAGCTTCAATAAAAGAAATTTACCTCTTAGTATTCTAAACGATAAAAAAAGTTTATGAGATTAAAAAACGTAAAAGATAAAGCAGGGTTGCCACAAAAATTAAATTTTGTACTTTCCTGACTCTTATCTGATTTTCAGACAAAATTTTCACTTTTTCCCTGACTCTAGAAAATATTCTGATTCACTTTCAAAATGATTAGATACTCAAAAAAAATTCTATTTACTTATTTCTTTAATTGTAAAATTATTCGAAAACATTAATAACTTATGTTTTAAATGAATATTTAATCATTATTATTTTTCCAAAGAAATTAAGATTTTCAAAAATTCCAAATTCAAACCTTTTTTAAATTAAACAATCATGTTTTATAACAATTAACGATGATCGAGTGATAAAATCATTATTTTATACTATAAAAATATTGTTACTGTAACTTCTTCAAAATTATTTTCATCATTTCAGTTCAATTATTATTTTCTACAATTTTTAACTAAAACTCTTCTTAAAATCAATTATTTAATTCAATAATTTCCGAAAAAGTTCTTTGAGAATTTTCAAAACCATTTGTTTACAATTCAATTTTACGTGAAATTTCGATAATTCGTAAATTCTTCAATTAAGGGCATCCGGAAAATAATACTGGTTTCGTGATAGACGTCTCATTTAAAAAGAAAAGAATATATTGAGTCGGGATTTTTTGGTAAATATAGAGAAATGCTCTGGGACCAGCGGTCCTCTCGGAATTTAGAGAAATTTTGATAAATAATTATTGAAAAAAATTGTTTAAATATACGGAAAAAAGGGGTTTTGAACGGTTCAGTATAGACGTCTCATTTTGAGAGGATAAAATATTTCGGGTTCATATTTGGAGGGGTGATAGAGGAAGACTCTCCGAGGAGCGGCCCTCTCCGTTTTTGCAATAATTTTGCGAGGAAATTATTTTATTAACGATTGAAAGTGGAGTAATTTGAGGTTAATACATTTCCCTCAGTTCAACTCGCGACCACTTCCGAGAATTGGCGCCACCTCCTTGACCACTGACACATAGATCTATTGTCTGTGTGCTCGCCGCCATATTGCCTCTCACTTTCGCCAAAAATCCAACTTTTGTAATTTCGTTTTTCAATATTTATTTCAAAAATTACTTGCAAATTTCGAGAATATTCTTTATCATCATGAATTCCCCTAATTATCATGATAAATCCGAACTAAATATCTCTCATTATTTAGGAGTGAGACGACACGCGGGAAAACACTTTTTGGGCTCGATTTTTCCCGGATGCCCTTAAATATACATTATAAAATAAAAACTTCAAATAATTTTTAAAAAAATTCAATTAAACTTTTACAAAAAAAATTAATTCTACAATAGTTAAAAGTATGCAAAAATTAAAATTTTCAAAGATTTTAATTTGAAATCTTTCATACTTCGCACTTGATAATTAATTTTAAAAAAGTAGCAAAAAGTAACTTTCAAACTAAAAACAGTAGTAAAAAATCTGTCCGCGCAAGCGCGGACACATTCTTATCCGCGCTTCGCGCGGGGGCTCGCTTCGCTCGCAAGTTTCAGCGCGCCTCGGGGCGCGCGAATATTGATCGTCGCGCTTCGCGCTCCGACGACTATTTCGCACGTCGCGCTTCGCGCGCAAATGGCTCGCTTCGCTCGCGGTGGTCTGCAATTATTGTGCATTATTTGTGTTCTTGTTTCCTATTACAGTCGAGCCGCAGAACTGCACGGTACCCCAGAAATAACCCCTCCACTTGATTTCAAACTGAACGCTGACGAACTCATCCCTACTATCTAATTCTCACGACCGTACTTGGATATTTATCCTCTGGGATTATAATTGAGTTCATAGAATTTTAAAATATACGGCACTGAATTTAGTACCGCCACCGTTCACTATGGAGTACTTAGAAACTAAAGCCAGTGTGAAGTTTGTCGACAGCGTTCAGTTTCAAAGCGTGCAGTTCGGAGGCTTGACTGTATATGTTTCATAAAACATTTTTTTTTCTTAATGTTACTACGACTTTAAGGATTACATTCTCATCACATGTTTTTGTTTGCTGATGATTGCGAGATTAAGTGGATTTAAATGTATATTTTTGGTCTTGATGATTAAAATTAAGAA